GGGCAGAACACTTCAGGACCAGTTTGGTAAAATGCTGGAGGTATCACCTAATCGGTGCTCATCAGTGCAGGCTATGGAGCAGCCCCGGTGTACAAGCTTTGCACAGCAGCCATACGAGCGGTGCGGCGGTATAGAGCACACAGAAGCCAGCGCTGACCGGGCAGTATACACGCTTACCACCGGCCGCGGCACGGTAACTCATGCTGTTAACCGAGACGGCATAAAAAAGGACAGCGAATCCCTCCACCAGAAGAGAGAGACAGAACCAGGACAGTGAGAGGAGAGAGGCCAGCAGGAAGATTAGAGAGTAGTACAGAAAGAGGAAAGATGGCGGACGAGCTTCGGGAGAAATACATGGTTAGTGGGTTCATAATAAAAAAATAGCATAAAAACACACAGAAATCACATTTCCGCCGGCAAAGCAAACACCAGTCTTCTCCTCCACTCTTCATGTTGTGTTTTTACCCAATACAAGTTTACTTTAAAGCATAAATTATTACTAGCCCTCGCAGTGGGGCTAACCCCTCATTGCAAGGGTTGCATGCTCGCTTTGGTCTAGGGAGGAAAATAAAGTCATGCTCACCCGATCCTCGGCGCTCCCTCCAGCCTGACTCCTCCTCCACTGCAGCGATGGTGTGTCCCCTCTGCATCCTCACATCCAATACAGTGTATTGGACGAGATGACTTGGGGACCTTAGATCGCTGCAGCAGTGTGGGAATAAAGGGCGTGACACACTGCACGCGAAGCAGTGTGTCATGTCATTTTCTTCTCGGCACCTCAGCTTGCGAGAGCTCGCAGAGCTGAGCGTGCCGAGATGAACAATTTCAACTTCAGCCAATCGGCTCGCGCGTATAAACCGGCGCGACGGGATGCGACGTCTGGCTGGTTGTTACAGACGAGCCGATTGGCTGAAGGTGCAGTCAATCATCTGACTGCACTCAGCTCACACACTGCACGCAAAGCTCCGTGCCGGATAGCTTTGCTCTGCACGGCTTCGCGTGCAGTGTGTCACGGCCTTAAGGCTCCAGGGAGCAGTCTAAAAGCAAGCCAGCCCGCGGATCAGGTGAGTACAACTTATTTTCTTCCCTAGACCAAAACGAGCACTTAACCCTTATAGTGTCGGGGTAGGCCGGCTGCAAGGGCTAATAAATTGTCCCCTGAGTTCTGCTTTAAAGCAGATCTAGCAGATATATTTTCATCTGAAGTGCAGTCCTGCAATGTAATGTGTCAGTATAATAACTAGGAATGCACAGATACCGGTTTTTCGGTACTCACCAATACCGGAAGTCCCATTTAGGAAGCCAGGTGGCGTGTAATGACTTGTACGTGGCTTCCCGATTAGCACGGAAGCCGTCTCCATGCTCCCTTGTCACCAGGTGACGAGGAAGCATGGAGCCGACTTCCTGGTGAATTAGGAGGCGGGTAATGACTCGCCGCCTGGCTTCCCCATTGGCCAGCTTCTTGACCAAATCAGGAAGCCGTGCAACGAGTCATTACATGGCGCACGGCTTCCTGATTGGTCGGGAAGCCGGCCCCATCCTCCCTCGTCACCAGGAGACGGGGGAGCGTAAAGCCGTCTTTCTAGCCAATCAGGAGGCTGGGGGGTGGGTAATGACTTGCCGTCCAGCTTCCTGATTGGTCGGGAAGATGGAAAATCAGGAAGCTAGGCAGCGAGTCATTATATGCCGTCCGGCTTCCTGATTGGCCCAGGAAGCCGGCTCCATCCCTCCTCGTCACCTAGTGACGAGGGAGGATGGAGCCGGCTTCCCGGCCAATCAGGAAGCTGGGCAGCATGTAATGACTCACTGCCCGGCTTCCTACAACCATAAGTTCGGGTATCGGAGCATTTAGGAGAGTACGAGTACTAGATACTAGTATATTAGTATCGGTGCATCCCTAGTAATAAGGGATATTTATCACCACCTACAGAGATCACGGGACTCACCATGACAATGCCATCATTTGCTTATCTCTCCAGAAGGTCGGAGACAACCAGCCCTCCAGTTGTGCTTTAGCTACAAATACCATCATGCATCTGCCTCTCGGAGTCATGTCTGTGGCCATCAGTCTTGCAATGCTCCATGGGATTTGTAGTTTCACAAGACATAAAGGAGCGGAGTCGCCCAACCCTGGTGTACACTATCACTGCTGGGTGACGGGTTGACAGTGAGCTGCACAGAGTTCGCACATCCGGACCAGACGGGTCCTCTAATCTACAGACATTATCTGTCACGGGTTATATTTAGAGGCTTCAGATGACAGAGCGAGGCTCGGGACGGAGCTAAAAATGAATTCTTACAAGGTTTATGAAAGGAGCTTTTCCTCCTGCAGATGACACATTCACTGACTATAAAAACTTTCACCGAGTACAACCGACATCGATATGTGAAGACCAGACTGTGTTTATGGCAACCAAAATCTGAAGCCATCACAGAGGATCTGATTCAGAGTTACCAATCTGGCCGCGTTCAGCAATGCGTGATGGTAACAGATACATTTCTCATCACTTAGCTAATGCTATTGCAGGGCACCAATGAGGAGGGAATAATGCCTCTTCTATTGCAGGGCACCAATGAGGAGGGAATAATGCCTCTTCTATTGCAGGGCACCAATGAGGAGGGAATAATGCCTCTTCTATTGCAGGGCACCTATGAGGGGGAGTATAATGCCTCCCTAATGCAGGGCACCTATGAGGGGGAGTATAATGCCTCCCTAATGCAGGGCACCTATGAGGGAAGTATAATGCTATCTAATGCAGGGCACCTATGAGGGAAGTATAATGCTATCTAATGCAGGGCACCTATGAGGGAAGTATAATGCTATCTAATGCAGGGCACCTATGAGGGAAGTATAATGCTATCTAATGCAGGGCACCCATGAAGGGGTATAGTGTCTCTTCTATTGCAGGGCATCCAACAGGGGAGTATAAAGCCTATTCTATTGCAGGTTACTGACTGCTGGGGTCTACAATAACCAAAGGGCTGCATGTGGCCCTAGGCTCGCAGGTTGGGCACCGGGGGTATAGGCGATTATTCTGCAATAGAGAGGATACTGTAGCATAAAATTTGTATCAAGTCATTATAACCTTTGTTCTGGTTTCCTTAGGCCTCCTCAGGCTCTTAATATACCTCGATGTACTGTCTGAAGAACCAAATGATTAGCATAGAGCAGTGGTTCTCAACCTGTGGGTCACACCCCACACTTGAGGGGGTTGCAACATGTGTTGTGCTCCGCTAGGCGAGAGGCTCTTCAGCCGCCTCCTATCGCTTAAATGTCAGTTCTCTGGCCTTGTCACTAGATGTCGCTGCAGCGGCGAGGAAGTAAGGAGAGTGGGCGGGCGTTACACATCATGTTACGCGTCGTGTGAGGCAGGAGTGAGGGAAGGTGCTCTCTTGTAGCTCCACTACAGCCATGTGTGTAAATACAGCACACTACATGGCAATGACCACCTGAGAGCCCGCGCAAATACTAGTATTGGTGCATCCCTAAATTTTACCGTTGGGGGTCACCAGAACTTGGCAAATGTTACCAAGGGGTCCCAGCCGTAGAAAGGTTGAGAAGCACTGGCATAGAGGAATTGTAAGCATGTGGAATGCTGTGTTTTTGCATTGAATTCTCACATTGGCAGGTAACAGTCGGGTCAAATCATGAATATCGCAAACATACATAAAGATCCAGGTACCGTAGAGGTAAGGATAATAAATATAAATGATGTTACAAACACATCTCGCCAGCCTGCTTTACCAGGAAGGGGAATGATGTCACAGGTCTGTCTGCTGGGACCGGCAGACAGCGGTAAAGACAGCTACTTACAGACAAGACCCGGTCTCCAACTCTGAGGGTCCCGTCACGGTGAGCGGCTCCGCCTTCTGCGATCCGTGAGATGAATATACACTAGAACGAGAGGGCACAGTTTTATAGAACACAAGGAGGGGACAGAAATCAGCCAGCTCCTGAGCTTGACTTGCTGTGCAGAGACTGGATGGAGCCATGCTCATCAGCCTTCCTAAAATACTCCAATTCCAGGTCTCAGAGAACGGCAGAGGAGGGGGGGGGAGGCAGGTGTCACATAACAGGGGAAAGCTATTTTCGGCCCCCGGGACTCTCCCTCTGCTAGATACCGGCAGTATAAATCCATGCTGCAGACAGGTGTGACACTGCTTCAGAGTTGAAGGGAAGCTGCAGGGGACAACATACATCAGCGGCAGAAAGATCCAGACCCCCATGCGTGAAATAAGGGAGATGCCAGGTGCCCCGCACAGCAGAGTCAGGCCACTAGGGGGCTCCCAACATTTCTGCACGGAGCACATGCTTTGACAGCAGCCCCCAATTCCTCTGTAGAAGTGGCCACCTGTTCCTATTCATTGACAGACAGCTCGATAACTAAATGACAGATGAAGGCACAATAACCAGCCATGCACCAGCATTCGTCACCACTTCAACTCACTGATGGGTGACTTAAAAGGACAAGTTCCCAACCTTTTTTGGATTTAGTTTTGGAGTAGGAGGAAGACCCAATCGGGACGTTTTGCTGCGAGCTTCTCACAATGTGCATTAGAAGCTGCAGCAAGTCAGATGGAGCCCACCTCATTTCCTGGGTGGAGGACGTCCAGCATCATCTAGCACTGGGGGGGCAACTGCAGCCCTCGACATGCGTTACAAACAAATCCCAACATGTCTCTGCCTCTGGGATTCATGCCTGTAAAAATGAGTCTTGTAATGCCTCATGGGACTTGTAGTCATCACAGCAGCTGAAGGGCCTGATTGTCCTCGGCCTGATTGTCCCTGGCCCGTGCCTTGCATTCATTGTATTTCAGTTCTTTAATGCATGGAGGCTCAGCATCTCATGTGGGTGTTACCCGAGGTGATCTGCATGCACATACACAGCCTGCCTAGGAACCCCAACTCCCCCAGACTGACATCCACCCATCATGGGATTTTAATATTTGCATAACTTCATGCATGTCATCAAAATGGAAAGATTTAAAGAGGATCTTCAGGGTATTGAAAGTTAAACACTTGCCGTAAGGGGGGGTTAGGGTCGGTGGGCCACTGAGCTTCCAATCAGGAAGCCGGGCAGCGTGTAATGACTTCCTTTTACCAGAAGCTCAAGTATGGGACCAGGCATCGGAGTGAGTACGAGTACTCGCCCAAATATTCAGCATCGGTATCAGTGCACCACTACTTATAACCCAAACTGAGTCTGGAAAAGTGGCATCAGAAAATTCGGCTGCGTTTTTACAGGCGGTCAGATTATGGATGGTTGGCAATTCTGCTGCAAGGGGTTATGGGAAACCGATACAAGTCAGTTTTCTAGTAGTTGCACTAGCATTGTTTGACAAAAAACATTTATTGATGTCTGAATAAGCACCTAAGCAGTCTAGACGCTGTTTATGTTTGGCTAGAGCTCTTGCTTTAACACAGAAGTGCATTCATTGCCCTTGAAGAAGCATCACCACAACTTAAAAATTGTTGTGGAGTCCCAAGGGGACCAAGTGCATGTAGGCACTTGGTCCTATTCTGGTGCATTCTAGGGCTGCTGGGCTAACAGTCGACAATGTGCCCCCCTTCCCTCACCATTGTCCGACCACGCTGCTCTGAGTGACAGGGCTCGTCTCTAGCCACATTCTGCAGTTAAGTGTTGTCATTCAGTACAGCAAAAAGCTAGTAAATGGAGAAGGAACGGTGGCTTCAGTGCGGCTGCTCCCCCATAGGAATACCTATAAATTGGGCTTCAGCCTGGGGTGAGGCTGACAGCCAGCACAAGCAGACAAAGATTTTTATTGCACAGCCACAGATCAGAACCAGACCAAGTGCTACATGCACTTGGTCCCCTGGGGGATTCAACAATTAGGTTGTGGTGATACTTTTGCAACAAAGGGACAGCATTTCACGGAGGACCTCCGTACTCACCGTGTCTCCAGCCCGATACGGGGTGCTCCCCACACCGCCAGCGATGCTGAATCCAAGACCCTTGTCATTGCGCATCAGACAGGTGGAGATCCGCTCCTTGGCGGTTTGCAAAGACTCCTCCTCTTCCTCTGCAAAGGGGATGACGACTCGCTTTTCCCGCGGGTTGTAATCATCTTCAGGCCGTAGCGGGGTGACTGTGATGGGGTTTTCAGGCTCCACCATTCTTTCCCGCAACACGGTCATAGACACAGAGGTTCCGGAACTGCGCAGGGCCTCCACCGCCGTGTGATGCTCCGCGTTATGGAGGTCAACGCCGTTCACCTGGCAATAAACCAGACGTTGGAAGCACTGACAGCCAATGGTAGGGTACTTTGTACATTGTAGATACTTTATTATCTTTAGAAGTTGAAACTTTATCTGCATGTTTCATGTAAAGTTTTGTTTTTTTGGCGTGATGCTTTGATTTTTTTTAAAAATAACGTGACAGTTACATTATTAATCGGTCATACTCGTTTATAAACAGTATTTATAGTAAGGCATCTGGGTCACATGACCTCTAGGAGACTGATCACCTGAATTTTAATCCTCTGTTTCACCAGAAATCGCATGACCCAAATGCCTTGGCATCCAAGTCACATGATGAGCACTGGAGAGCGTGATACTTACACCAGGAAAAGTATTTCATCCCTGCTATTATTCCCTCCTAGAAGACTTCACGTACAGTATATTTAACCACGTCAGTTTTTAAACCTATACACCCCCATAAAATCCAAGGCAATCTTTGTATTTCTACTATGGGCCTATTGTATCCTGCACAATTCCCGGCTGTCATTTTGTCAGCGGGGATTGCCAGCAAGTGCAAGGCAAAGAACGGAAGGGGGAGAAAGACAGGATGTACTACAGACATCTGGTGTATATTGATGACGTTTCTTAGACATCTGTGGTGTATCCAGCGTCCACAACTTATTAACATTTAAGTATAGGTCCATTCAATTGCAAACGCTGACCGATTAATAAAAATAAAAAAAATTGGCTTATTCCCCCTTATGTTTCCATGGATGCCTGGAAGCAGGAACCTACCTACATATATGGTGGCACTGTCCTGTGGTCAGGGCTTGTTGGTCAAAGGTTTACAGACCTATTAATATCATCTTAGGTAGCCCACTTATTCCTGATCCCTGGGAGGCCCTCCCGAATAAAAAAACCTGACAATATCACACAGTGACACTAAACTAAAGAGTTAAATCTTAAAAATACATTCAAGTACCTTAACTATTTCCAAAAATGTATCTTATTTGTGTATCACTCGGCTGCAGATCCTCCAATCCTCTCTAAATTGGTGCCAAGACTGTCCTTCCTTCTGGAGGGGGGCTACTTGCGTTCCCCGTGGTCCCTGTGTGTGTTGTAAAGTCACCGCTCCAAGCTCACTGCCGGGATGGACTACAATCTCATGTTAAGTTTACTTTACTAATTTGTATAGAGATTGTAGTCTATCCCAGGAGTGAGCTCGGAGCGGTGACTACTCTACAACACACACAGGGATCATGGGGAACACAAGTAGCCCCCCTCCAGAAGGAAGGACAGTCTTCCAATTTAGAGAAGATTGGAGGATCTACAGCCGAGTGATATACAGATAAGATGCATTTTTGTTGATTTAAATCTCAAGTTTAATGTCACTTTAAGCTTTAGATCTTTATCACCGCCACCAAAAACTTACGATAGCCAAGACCTAGAGATCAGATACTCTTAATTTCCATGAAGAGTCGTATGAAAGAAATCATGGTATTTGAGAAAATGACAGCTAGACTCCTGGATAAGATGTCATCTTTTGATGAGATATGGGCCCCTTGGATCCAACATTTCCTCCCACCCTCTTTTGACAGGAGACTCCTACATCTGTACTGAGGTGTGCTGGCTTGGTTGTTGTGGCCCCTCAGTGGTCCTTCTCCCCAGTTCCCCTGACCCTCTTACCATCTCCCTTCTTCCTCCCTCTCGGTAGTCTGCACCATCCTGCTTCTTTCCTGTTTTCAGTCTCCTCTGCTTCTTTCTTTCATGCGTTTTGTTTTTCCTCTTACTAGTAATGCTTATCTCTTTCTTTCAAGCTGCAGCCTGTCCTTTTCCTTTATTATGGCCCATTGGCCCCCTTTTATTGGTGTGCACTACTATTATCTACCATTATCTACTATTATAGTCTCTCCCATCCTCTGGAATTCTTTACCCCAACCTGTCCGTCTATCTCCCACCTTGACTGCCTTTAGGCGTTCCCTAAAGACTCTTCTCTTCAGGGAAGCCTATCCCACCTAAACCTAACCACTCAACCATCACGTTCTCACATAATTCATTCCCACAGCTACCTCCTCATGTATCATTTCCCCCTCCTCTTTTAGATTGTAAGCCCTCAGGGGCAGGGCCCTCCTTACCATCTTGTCTTGAATTGTATTGTAACTGTAATGTCTTCCTTACATTGTAAAGCGCTGCGCAAACTGTTGGCACTATATAAATACTATGTAATAATAATACTACTACTACTACTACTACTACTACTACTACTACTACTACTACTACTACAAGACTGTAAATACAGCATATTTATCTAATAATGGAACGTCCCACCATAGGTCGGAAGTGCCCTGGTGGGTTCCCTTCTTAGTTCTGTTTGCATGCATCTGATGCTGTTTCTACGTTTGGTGCCTCTAGTAACTGGCTTGTTGTAATATGAATTGTACACGTGGTAACCCCCGCTTTTTCTGGTATTGTGTGCACCTCGTTTGTCAACGTTAATAACAATTTATTTAAAAGGAAATTAGTAAAAATGAGGGATGTACAGATACCGGTTTTTCGGTATCAAGTACCAATAATTTATATGTCGGTACTCGCCGAAACCAGTACTTCTGCTAGCATAGAGCCGGCTTCCAGGGCAATCAGGAAGCCATGTGCCGTGTTATTCCCAGCCAATCAGCAACGAGCCAGCTTCCCAGCCTATCAGGAAACCGGGAGGCGGGTCATTACCCACCGGCCAG